ACGGTTGGACAAGATGATCTTTAAGGTCCCTTCCAACCTAGAAGACTCTGTGATTCTGTTCTGTGATTGTGTTGTGGGCCAGGAGCTTGTGCCAACCTAGAAGATTCTGTGATTCTGTTGTGGGCCAGGAGCTTGCGGTGGCCCGTAGCCCTGTAGCTGGCCGGTGGCACATGGCTGCTGGCTCTCCCCGTTAGCCACCCGGAGCCGCGCAGGCAGGCGGTTAGCTGTGGATTAATGCTATCGGTTTGTTTAGGGGTTTGTTTAATCCTTCTCTGCCTTGTAAACTGGTGTGTGTGGCTTGTCCTAGCCCTCTGGGGAGCCTCCAGAAGGAGAGCGGTGGGGGACAGCTCGCTGCCCACCAGGAGGTGGAGGAGGCTGCTGAGCAGATGATGTGCTTTTAGCCTCGGGATGTTCCTCACAGGCTCAGAAGAAGGGGGAAAAACAGTTAATGAGCTTGGGTGAGACCCCCCTGCTCCCTACGTGAGGTCGCGGTGGCCCGTAGCCCTGTAGCTGGCCGGTGGCACATGGCTGCTGGCTCTCCCCGTTAGCCACCCGGAGCCGCGCAGGCAGGCGGTTAGCTGTGGATTAATGCTATCGGTTTGTTTAGGGGTTTGTTTAATCCTTCTCTGCCTTGTAAACTGGTGTGTGTGGCTTGTCCTAGCCCTCTGGGGAGCCTCCAGAAGGAGAGCGGTGGGGGACAGCTCGCTGCCCACCAGGAGGTGGAGGAGGCTGCTGAGCAGATGATGTGCTTTTAGCCTCGGGATGTTCCTCACAGCTGTGGATTAATGCTATCGGTTTGTTTAGGGGTTTGTTTAATCCTTCTCTGCCTTGTAAACTGGTGTGTGTGGCTTGTCCTAGCCCTCTGGGGAGCCTCCAGAAGGAGAGCGGTGGGGGACAGCTCGCTGCCCACCAGGAGGTGGAGGAGGCTGCTGAGCAGATGATGTGCTTTTAGCCTCGGGATGTTCCTCACAGGCTCAGAAGAAGGGGGAAAAACAGTTAATGAGCTTGGGTGAGACCCCCCTGCTCCCTACGTGAGGTCCCTGATGAAGCAGTGGCAAAGAGGAGTTGTTTTGGGAGCTGGAGCCCTGAGGAGCACTGGGTGGGGAGGGACAAGGGCTCCCACATTCCTCAGAACATCCATGGAGGAATAATCCAGCTGCCCGGCTGGGGTGGGCCCAGCTGCTCCTCTCCACCCTGGGATTAACCTCGGCTCTGCACAGAGGACCTCTTGATTACAGATATTAAAACTGTCTCTCTCCCTGTGTGCTCACGGGAGCAAAGCTATTTAATCCCTCCACCTCGGTGGCTAGTGGCCAAGGGAGGTGGGCCAGCAGGCAGGGGGGGGGCTGCTCCCTCCACCCAGACAGAAGAGTATACAGGGGCTTAACGCGGCTCCGGGAAATCCTGCCTAAACCCTTGTGTGTCCTCGGGATTAGCACTAAACTCTCTCCTGAAAGGGCCAGTGATCCCTCCTGTCTGCTCCAAATAAAGCCTCGGTGTCGGTGCTGTCGGGGGGGGGTGGCCCCTGGGCCAGGCTGGGACACGGGCAGTGCCACGGTGTGGGGACAGCGAGGTGTGGGAGCAGGGAACTGGAGGTGGAGGCAGATGTGTCTGTGGCAGCTCCCTGGAAGGGGGGTGAAGCAGAGGGGTGAGGCTTTGCTCCACGCAGGCTGCTGCAGAGTTGTGTTGGCAGCGGGCGAGTCGGTGGTGTCGGAGGGTGTGCGTGTGTGTGCACACTCACACCTGTGAGACACTCAGCGTGTTGTCCCGGAGAGCAGCACAGTTGAGTTCCACCTCCCAGGCTCAGGTGGGGGGCAAGGGTTTAGTTAAACCACAAGGACTGGCCTCGCAGACGTCAGGATGGTGATGGGTGCCATAGCAGGGCTCATCTGAGCTGCTCTTGGTGCTCCCCAAGATGTTTGACAGGGACCTCATGGGATGAGGTTCAATAAGGCCAAGTGCCAGGTCCTGCATTTCGGTCACAACAACCCCAGGCAACGCTACAGGCTTGGGGCAGAGTGGCTGGAGCTGCCCGGAAGAAAAGGACCTGGGGGTGTTGGTGGACAGCAGGCTTAACATGAGCCAGCAGTGTGCCCAGGTGGCCAAGAAGGCCAACAGCATCCTGGCTCGTATCAAGAATAGCGTGGCCAGCAGGAGCAGGGCAGTGATGGTGCCTCTGGACTGGGCACTGGTGAGGCCTCACCTCGAGGGCTGTGTTCAGTTTTGGGCCCCTCACTACAGGAATGACATTGAAGTGCTGGAGCGTGTCCAGAGGAGAGCCACCAAGCTGGTGAGGGGTCTGGAGAACAAGTCCTATGAGGAGAGGCTGAGGGAACTGGGCATGTTTAGTTTGGAGAAGAGGAGGCTGAGGGGAGACCTCATTGCCCTCTACAGCTCCCTGAAAGGAGGGTGTAGAGAGGCAGGTGTTGGCCTCTTCTCCCAAAGGACGAACGACAAGACCAGAGGAAATGGTCTGAAGTTGGGGCAGGGGAGATTTAGATTAGATATTAGAAAGAACTACTTTCCTGAGAGAGTGGTCAGGCCCTGGAACAGCCTGCCCAGGGAGGTGGTGGAGTCACCATCCCTGGAGGGATTTAAGAAACGTATAGACATGGCTCTTCAGGGCATGCTCTAGTGCCCAAGGTTATTGGTTTATGGTGAGGTGTTGAGTGTGGGGTTTAGTTGGTGGGTGCGGTGTTTTTGGTGAGCGTTTGGTGTGGTGTGTTGTTGGGTTTTTTTGGTTTTGTGTTGGGGTTTTTTTGGGTTTTTTTGGGGTTTTTTTTTTGTGGTTGGACTCGATGATCTCAGAGGTCCCTTCCAACCACTAAGATTCTGTGATTCTGTGACCCAAGTTGCTGGGTTTTGGTGCCAGGGGGACAGCAGCGTGTGGGGCTGGGGCTGCCTGGCCATGGGGCTGGCTTGTGGCTCCCACAGGGCTGTGCCCTCAGGCTGCCTCCCCGCTGGGGTGGGTGCATCACGGGGACCCTCACTCACCACCCTCCTCCTCTTCCCTCTTGCAGGCCGACGTGGTCTGCGTGGTGTACGATGTCACCAAGGAGGCCACCATTGAGAAGGTAACGAGTCCCCTGCGGAGCCCTGATGAGGAGAAGGGGTTCCCAGCACTGGGTCCTTCCCACCTGCCACAGATTTTTTGATGTGGGTGGGTACCGGTGCCCCCCAGCCCTGTGGGGATTGGGGGTTGAGACCCCCTGGAAGCAGAGAGAGGCTGAGTACAGCCCCACGTTGGCTGTTGTCCTGGATTATTGAGGGGGACAACAGGCACGTTGCATCCTTCTGCTGGCATCCAGCATCCCGGGGTCTGCTCTGCCGGCTGCTGCGGGGGGACACCGGGCAGCAGATGGCTGCGGGGCCCCGCTGGCTGTACTGGGAGCTGTACTGGGAGCTGCCTCTACCTCCCCGGGCTGCCCTAACGAGGTCCCTTCCAACCACTAAGATTCTGTGATTCTGTGACCCAAGTTGCTGGGTTTTGGTGCCAGGGGGACAGCAGCGTGTGGGGCTGGGGCTGCCTGGCCGTGGGGCTGGCTTGTGGCTCCCACAGGGCTGTGCCCTCAGGCTGCCTCCCCGCTGGGGTGGGTGCATCACGGGGACCCTCACTCACCACCCTCCTCCTCTTCCCTCTTGCAGGCCGACGTGGTCTGCGTGGTGTACGATGTCACCAAGGAGGCCACCATTGAGAAGGTAACGAGTCCCCTGTGGAGCCCTGAGGGGTCCTTCCCACCTGCCACAGGTTTTTTGATGTGGGTGGGTACCGGTGCCCCCCAGCCCTGTGGGGATTGGGAGTTGAGACCCCCTGGAAGCAGAGAGAGGCTGAGCACAGCCCCACGTTGGCTGTTGTCCTGGATTATTGGGGGGGACAACAGGCACGTCGCATCCTTCTGCTGGCATCCAGCATCCCTGGGTCTGCTCTGCCGGCTGCTGCGGGGGGACACCGGGCAGCAGATGGCTGCGGGGCCCCGCTGGCTGTACTGGGAGCTGTACTGGGATCTGTACTGGGAGCTGCCTCTGCCTCCCCAGGCTGCCCTGACAGGCCTTTCCCTCTGCTCCCCTTTCAGATTCGCACGAAGTGGATCCCCATGGTGAACGGGGAGGTGGAAAAGGGCTCCAGGTACAGTGTGTGGCTGCTCTGGGGGCACTGAACTGGGGGATTCTGGAGGCTGTGGGGTGCCCACCTCCCTCCCCTCCTCCTGAGGTTATTGAGATCAAACCAGCTTTATGGTGTGTGGGTCAGACTATTTGTAGGAGGAAAACATAGGGGTTTTTCTTCCTCGGAGATTGTCCTGGGTTGAGTGACATAGGACTAACTTCTAACGCTGGGGAAAACAGCGCTTTTAGAAGACTTCTGGTGTCTGAATTCATGGTCGCTTTTAGAAGACTTCTGGTGTCTGAATTCGTGGAAATATTTACTTTATAGTCAGCCAGGCTCTGTGGGATTCAAGGTCTCGGTGTTTTCGAGCCTTGCCAGGTGCAGGGATGAGGAGGAGCGAGACCCAGGCACTTCCTTCACCCAAGCTGCCAACAGGGTTGGAGGGACAAGGAGGAGCGAGACCCAGGCACTTCACCCAAGTTCATACTGTGAACATCACATTCAATACAAATTTGGAAGTTTGCTGAGGAGATCTCTCTCCCCCTTGATGGTGATGGTCCAGAGAACTCCTTACTGGAAGTTTGTTGAGGAGATCTCTCTCCCCCTTGATGGTGATGGTCCAGATAACCCCTTACCCTGGTGCTGGAGCCCTGAGCCCTTCCCTTCTTCCCGAAGCTGCAGCGCTCGCAGGGTCCCTTAGGGCCACAAAGATGATCAGAGGGATGGAGCCCCTCTGCTGTGAGGACAGGCTGAGAGAGTTGGGGTTGTTCAGCCTGGAGAAGAGAAGGCTCTGGGGAGACCTTGGAGCAGCCTTCCAATATCTGAAGGGAGCTACAGGAGAGCTGGGGAGGGACTCTTGGTCAGGAGGTGCAATGACAGGACAAGGGGTAATGGTTTTAAATTGGAAGAGGGGAGATGAAGCCTAGATATTAGGAAGAAATTCTTTGGTGTGAGGGTGGTGAGAGCCTGGCCCAGGTTGCCCAGAGAAGCTGTGGCTGCCCCATCCCTGGAGGGGTTCAGTAATGGTTTTAAATTGGAAGAGGGGAGATGCAGCCTAGATATTAGGAAGAACTTGTTTGGTGTGAGGGTGGTGAGAGCCTGGCCCAGGTTGCCCAGAGAAGCTGTGGCTGCCCCATCCCTGGAGGGGTTCAAGGGCAGGTTGGAGGGGGCTTGGAGCAACCTGGTGTGGTGGGAGGTGTCCCTGCCCAGGGCAGGGGGTAGAACTAGATGATCTTTAAGGTCCTTTCCAACCCAAACCATTCTATGGTTCTATTTAGCCTTATCTTATTAAATCTATTCATATTTCAACCGTGTTTCCTCACTTTTCCCCATTCCCCTTCCTGGGAGGAGAGGCATCATTGGGTGAGAGAATAATTGTCTAAACGACGATAAATTGTTGGGGGTTTTCTCAAAGCGTAACACAGACCCAGCTGAGGGAGAGGGTTCCTTCCTCCCTTGGTCTCTTCTCAGCCAGGCGGGGAGAGGAGGCTGCCAAGGGAGGAACGGGAGCGCAGGAGCCGCAATCTGTGTGTGTGTGGATTTCTTGGGCAGAAGGCTGCTGTGCTGGATTAAAGGCTCCCAAACATATTGTTGCTGGGTGAAAGCGTAAGCGGGATCAGGCAGTCTGTTTCTCCAGATGGATGCTCCCGGCCGTGGGAGGCAGGAAAGCTGCCGTGGGCCTTGCAGAGGAGGGTGGGGAGGCTCCCCAGGCTGCTGAGACCCACAGAGGGGTGGCCTCACTCATGGAATAATTGTCTAAACGACAATAAATTGTTGGGGGTTTTCTCAAAGCTGTAACACAGACCCAGCTGAGGGAGAGGGTTCCTTCCTCCCTTGGTCTCTTCTCAGCCAGGCGGGGAGAGGAGGCTGCCAAGGGAGGAACGGGAGCGCAGGAGCCGCAATCTGTGTGTGTGTGGATTTCTTGGGCAGAAGGCTGCTGTGCTGGATTAAAGGCTCCCAAACATATTGTTGCTGGGTGAAAGCGTAAGCGGGATCAGGCAGTCTGTTTCTCCAGATGGATGCTCCCGGCCGTGGGAGGCAGGAAAGCTGCCGTGGGCCTTGCAGAGGAGGGTGGGGAGGCTCCCCAGGCTGCTGAGACCCACAGAGGGGTGGCCTCACTCATGCTTTCTGACACTGCATCTTTTTTTTTTTTCCCCCAGGATTCCTGTTATTTTAGTGGGAAACAAGTCTGACCTGCAGGTGGGGAGCTCCATGGAGGTCATCCTGCCCATCATGAACCAGTTCTCGGAGATTGAGACCTGCGTGGAGGTGAGGGAACCAGAGGGTTTCTGCAAAGCCTCCCTGAGGGGTAGGAGCATTTGTCTGACGTGAGCCTGAGGAATGGCTGCCCTGCTAACCTTGCGCTGCAGGAATACCCCTGTCTGGGTCTCGAGGGTCTGTGCTTTGGGCTTTTTGTCCTTTGTCTTCCTCGCAGGGAGTGGGTTTCAGTGTCTGCCCACTCTGGCTTTCCAGCTGGAACTGGCGTTGGAGCCACCTGCAGCCCCTGTTGGCTCTGAGCAGGAGGTTTCCCTTTTATTTTTCCCCCCAACGATGAACACTTGTTGCTCTGGGCTTTGACACACAACTTGGCTCGAGGTCCCTGGCTCGGGGACCTCCTATCATCCTCCTTCTGCCCCTTCTCCTTGCTCACAGGGTTGTCTCTTCCTTTGAATCCTCAGTGCTCTGCCAAGAACCTCAAGAACATCTCTGAGCTCTTCTACTACGCCCAGAAGGCTGTGCTGCACCCCACTGCCCCCCTCTACGACCCAGAGGAGAAGCAGGTGGGAAAAGCACCTCTCACAGCACCTCTCACAACCCTGGCCTGGTGCTGTGCCTTTGTCCCTGCGTAGGAGGGTGGAAAGTTTGGGCCAAAGCATCCAGAATAAGGGGAAATCATTACCCCAGGGGAAAACACCCATCTCCTGTGCTCAGCTGAGTATATCCAGGCCAGAGATATCCACAAGGACCAGTGGCACGTTGGGGTAGGAGCTCTCCTGCTCCAGCCCGTGTTTTAGCCGTGGTGGGAAGGGTCTAGGAGAAACCTTCCACGTGGCTTGTCCTGTTTCTGATTCCCAGTTCTAATGTGGCTGGAGAACTGGCCTAGCTGGCCAGTGCAGGAAGGGAACCCCTCTGCACGTCAGGGGTTTCAGGAGGAAGGGCCAGGCTGAAGGTGCTGCCCTGGTTTTGTCACTGTGGTTCACAGAATCACAGAATCTTCTAGGTTGGACCTTAAAGATCATCTTGTCCAACCGTCAACCTAACTCTGACAAAAATAGACTCCCTCACAACTAACAAGCATCATCACTAAACCAGACCTCCCAGCACTACATCAACCCGTCTTTTGAACACCTCCAGGGATGGGGCCTCAACCCCCTCCCTGGGCAGCCCATTCTAATGGCTGAGAACCCTTTCAGTGAAAAAATTTTTCCTAATATTGGAACTGGTTGTTCTCTTGCAGCTGAAACCTGCGTGTGCGCAAGCCCTCACCCGGATCTTCAACCTCTCAGACCAGGATAACAACCAGATCCTTAGTGATGATGAACTCAACTACTTTCAGGTAGGGCTGGCTGCGGAGCTGAGATATTCCCTGTCCCTTGTGGAAAGCCCCTGGGGTTCCTGTTCCTTCCAGTCCCAGGCAGAAAGGCTGCCCCTCTCCTGACACAGCCGTCGTCTTCGCCTTCAGTTCTTGTGCTCTTGCACAGGGTGGATTTCTGAATTTCACTGAATTTCACTGAATTTTAGAGTTGGAAGGGACCATAGAGATCATCTAGTCCAACTCCCCTGCTGAAGCAGGATTGCCCAGAGCTAGAGCATGTTACTCAGGAGCATCCAGGTGGGGCTTGAAAATCTCCAGAGAAGGGGACTCCACACCCTCCCTGGGCAGCCTGTTCCAGGGCTCTGCCACCCTCACCGTGAAGAAGTTTCTCCTCATATTTGAGTGGAACCTCTTCTGTTCCAACTTGTGCCCATTGCCCCTCGTCCTCTCACTGGGAACCACTGAAAAGAGTCTGGCTCCCTCCTCCTTCAACCCTCCCTTGAGATACTGGTAGGCATTGATAAGGTCTCCCCTCAGCCTTCTGAGCACACAGGGATCCACAGATCTTCCATCTTCACTAAGCTTGGGCCGAGTTTGCTCTGCAGTGAAGAGCAAGAGGCTCTGGAGATGTTCAGAGTGATGTTATTGGGATGCTGAGGAACAGGGTCTAAGCCCAGAGTCCCTGAGCTGGGTGGATTTTCTCTCCTAAGAAACACCATCTCCTTGTGCCAGGGGAGAGGGCTGCTGGCGAGACAGAGGGTTGTGCTGTCCGTGTGCTTTTGCTGATGATGACCTTCTTTCTCTTGGGAGGTAGAAGTCCTGCTTTGGAAACCCGCTGGCTCCTCAGGCCCTGGAGGACGTGAAGATGGTTGTGTGGAAGAACACCACAGATGGGGTGCAGGACAACGGCCTGACGTTAAACGGTAACAGCACAGGGGCTCTGTGCCCCTTCCCAGCGAGGGATGGAGGGACCCTGTCCTCGGGCTGAGCCTCCTGGCTCTCATGATACATAGGGTGTATCATCAGCAAGTTTGCAGATGACACCACGTTAAGCAGGAGTGTTGACTCCCAGGAGGAGAGGGAAGCTCTAGAGAGGGACCTAGATAGATTGGATCACTGGGCCAAGATCAACGGCATGAGTTTCAACAAGGGCAAGTGCCAGGTCCTGCACTTGGGCCACACCAACCCCCTGCAGCGCTACAGGCTGGGGGAAGTGTGGCTGGAGCTGCCTGGAGGAAAGAGACCTGGGGGTTCTAGTTGCCAAACAGCTGAATATGAGCCGGCCGTGTGCCCAGGGGGGCAAGAAAGCCAATGGCATCCTGGCTTGTATCAAAAATAGTGTGACCAGCAGAAGTAGGGAGGTGATTGTGCCCCTGTACTCAGCACTGGGGAGGCCACACCTCGAGTGTTGTGTCCAGTTTTGGGCACCTCAATCCAAGAGAGATCTCGAGGTGCTGGAGCGAGTGCAGAGGAGGCAACGGAGCTGGTGAGGGGGCTGGAAAACAAATCGTATGAGGAGCGGCTGAGGGAGCTGGGGCTGTTCAGTGTGAGGAAGAGGAGGCTGAGGGGAGACCTCATCACTCTCTACAACTACTTGAAAGGACACTGTAGAGAGGTTGGGGCTGGTCTCTTCTCACAGGTAATTAATGACAGAACGAGAGGGAATGGCTTCAAGCTCCAACAGGGGAGGTTTAGATTGAACATTAGGAAGGAATTTTTCACCGAAAGAGTGGTCGGGCATTGGAACAGGCTGCCCAGGGAGGGGGTGGAGTCTGTGTTTAAGGGCTGTGTTTAGGGGCCGTTTAGATGGGGTTCTGAGGGACATGGTGTAGGGGAGGACTTTGTAGAGTAGGGGAGATGGTTGGACTCGATGATCCCAAGGGTCTCTTCCAACCTCAATGATTCTATGATTCCAAGCCTAATTAGTCCCTCTTGCCAAAGCAACCCTCATCCTGCTGTGGCTACTAGAGCTCTCTGTCCAAGAAGCCTGTTTTCCCAGGGAAAGTGTTGGTCCCGAGGCAGAGGGCTTGGTTGGCCCCACTGTGTCTGAGCCCTCCTGGTCTCTCCTGCAGGTTTCCTCTTCCTCAACACGCTCTTCATCCAGAGGGGCCGGCACGAGACCACCTGGACCATCCTTCGCTGCTTTGGGTACAACGACGAGCTGGAGCTGACGGATGACTATCTCCACCCACAGTGCGTGTCCCGCCTGGGAGTGGGGTGGGCAGGGTGTGACACACAACTCGGGCTCCCCAGCACCTTTGCTGGCTCCTTTCTGCACCCTGAGGTCCTCAAGCTGAGGCTGAATCCGCACCCTTAGCTCGTGGTCACGTTCCTGGTCCTCACCTTCCCCTGCGGGCAAGAGCTGACACCCGGGGTTGGTGACAAATGCAACGGTCCTTGGAGCTGCTGGCTGTTCTCTGGCTCTGACGTAGGTGGACAAGGAGGTGGGGAATGGAGCACAAGTCTTACGAGGAGAGGCTGAGGGAACTGGGGTTGTTCAGTCTGGGGAAGAGGAGACTGAGGGGAGACCTTATCGCTCTGTACGAGTACCTGAAAGGAGGGTGTAGAGAGACGGGGGTCGGTCTCTTCTTCTAAGCTACAGACGATAGGACAAGGGGTAATGGCTTCAAGTTGCGCCAGGGGAGGTTCAGGTTGGATATTAGGAAACATTTCTTTACTGAAAAGGTTATCCAGCATTGGAATGGGCTGCCCAGGGAGGTGGTGGAGTCACCATCCCTGGAGGTATTTAAGAAATGTGTAGACATGGTTCTTCAGGGCATGCTCTAGTGCCCAAGATTACTGGTTTGTGGTGGGATGTTGTGTGGGTGGGTGATGGTTTTTGGTTTGGTGGTTGTTGTTGTGTGTTTAGGTGGTGGGTTCTGGTTTGTGGTTTGTTTGGTTGGTTGTTTTTTTGTTTTGGTTTGGTTTTTGGTTTTTTTTTGTGGTTGGACTCGATGATCTCTGAGGTCCCTTCCAACCAATACGATTCTGTGATTCTGTGAATGGAGGCCTGTCCCTGACTTTCCTTGACATCAGCGAGGACGGGGAGAGGGGGGTTTGAAGGCTGCTCTGTCTCTGCCTGAGCTGAGGCAGAAGGGTTGTGTCAGGAGCAGCGAGCTGTCAGCACAGCCCCCCCGGCTGAGTCTCCAGCTGCTGTCTCTGCTCCCTGCCACCCCGGAGCTGGGGATCTGGCAGTAATGAAAGGCTTTGGCTTGTGAGCTGCTTCATCCTCCCCCCTCAGAGAGCAGGCTGTGCGGGGAGGTGACAGGCCCCCGTGCTGGTGGAAAACCCCCCCGGGGACAGCACTGTGCCCTGCTGAAGCCCTGGGCACGTTGCTGGGGGCTACACCATCTCCCTGGCTGCTTGGGCAGCGTGGATGTGCTGAGGAGAGGCCACTGTCACCCTGGAGGCCTTCCCAAAGCCAAGGGCTGTGTGTGTCAGGAAGTTGGCAGGCTTGGAGACAACCGCTGGCCTTGAGCAGGGAGGGAGTGGGGAGCTATGGGGTGAGAGCTGGCTTGGCCAAAGACCTGCTCACACGCTGCCCATCGTTCAGGGCTTGAGGAGGCTCACTTGGCTCTCTCCCGACAGGTTCCGTGTTCCTGCTGGCTGCTCCACGGAGCTCAACCACTTGGGCTACCAGTTCCTACAGCGGCTGTTCGAGAAGCACGACAAGGTGGGCAAACACGGTGGTGGAGCTGCCTGGGGAAGGGGATGCTCTCTGCCAGGTCTGCACCTTGGGGTACTCTTCTGCCCACACCTGGAAGTAGTGCCAGCATAGGGCTTTCCACGCTCCCTTCGTGGCTTTTGGCCAAGGCTTTGGGAGCAGCACACCTGGAAGTAGTGCCAGCAAAGGGCTTTCCACACTCCCTTCGTGGCTTTTGGCCAAGGCTTTAGGAGCAGGAGGTGGCCACAGCGAGCTGGAGGTAGCCTGATGGCAGCAGTGTGTCTAGGGCATGAACTTGTGGCCACTACCCTTGACCAAAGGGCAACCAGTTTGGGAACCTTTACCCTGTGGCCACAGCAAGCTGGAGGTAGCCCGATGGCAGCAGCGTGTCTAGGGCATGAGGTTGTGGCCACTACCCTTGACCAAAAGGCAACCAGTAAAGGTTTGGGAACTTTTACCCTGACCAGTAGAGGTCAGGGAATGGGTCTGAGTTGACATCAAACTGGTGTAGCCCCTCGTAGTGCCTGCCTGCAGCGTGTGGGGTGGGCAAGGAAAGCGGGCAGAGCCAGTAGCCCACAGCCACGGACCAGGCACGAGCATCCACACGGCTGCCAGCCCCACGGAGGGGGAGCCAGGCTGGAGAGAGGGAGAAAAGCAACTTGATGTGTGCCATTTTCTGGCTTTTTGGAGAGTAAGAGAGAAGGGGATGTACTGGATCCGTGCAATCCTGTTCGGGCTAGATGTTGGGGTGCAGCTGGGGTACAACAGCCCATGGGGAGCTGCAGCACAGAGCGTGCCCAGATGCACGTCCCTGCCTGCCCAGATGCCAGCAGATCCTCTGTGGTGTGGCCCTGTGGCACACCAACCTGAGGGTGCTGCCTTGGCATGTGGTCAGCTGGTGGCCAGTGGCCCGGTGGCCACGCACAGACCTTGGGTTTAGTTTCCCTGAGGTGTGGAAGGTCAGGCTGGATCTGCAGGGTGGCTGTCCCCAGGGAAGCTCAGGGCTGCGGGGTGAGTGTGGAGGGATCCTGCCCAGTAGCAGGGGCTGGCACTGGTTCCAGCTGCCATCGCAGAGCAGGGATCAGTCTGTCTCCTGTGCAGTGACAGGAATCCCTGGGGCACAGGCTCTTTGGCATGCTCACACGGCTTGGAATTGATTTCTGCCATGGAGGGCATCTCAGTGACAGGAATCCCTGGGGCACAGGCTCTGTGCATGTAACGCAGCTTGGAATTGATTTCTGCCATGGAGGACATCCCTGTGTCATCCTGCAGGGTGGCTTCTGTGCTGGGGACCCTCTCTGGACCCCGATTGCTCGGCGTGGCTGTGGGTGTGTGTGTGTGGGCTGTGTCCCACCTTGGCTAACTCTGTGTCATCCTGCAGGGTGGCTTCTGTGCTGGGGACCCTCTCTGGACCCCGATTGCTCGGCGTGGCTGTGGGTGTGTGTGTGTGGGCTGTGTCCCACCTTGGCTAATGACTCCCCTTTTGTTTCGGCAGGACCAGGACGGAGCCCTCTCCCCCTTAGAGCTGCAGAACTTCTTCAACGTCTTCCCCTGCCTGCCCTGGGGGCCTGAGCTCTACAACACGGTATGCACCACTGATAAAGGCCTGCTTTCCCTGCATGGATTCCTCTGCCAGTGGACGTAAGCTCAGCCCCTCTCCCCTTGCCTTTAGTCACATCCTTTAGCCCTCGCTGACCTCGTCGGCTTCCCGGTGCCCTCTGTCTCTCCAGGCTGGTGGCTTACCTGGACGTACGGCGCTGCCTGGAGTGCCTGGCCTACCTGGGCTACCCCATCCTCTCGGAGCAGGACTCCCAGACACAAGCCCTCACGGGTACGGCCATGCCCTCCCCTCCCGTGGCTGCCGGGCCTCCTTCCTCTCGCTCACCCCACCCAACCCTCTCTCCTGCCAGTCACCCGGGAGAAGAAGATTGACCTGGAGAAAGGCCAGACCCAGAGAAACGTCTTCCTCTGCAAGGTGCTGGGAGCCAGGGGCGCAGGCAAGTCCGCCTTCCTGCAGGCCTTCCTCGGCAGGAGCCTGGCGGTGAGTGGCTGGGGGTCCCGGCGGAGCAGGAGGCAGAGCCATCAGGCTGTTGAGGGATCTGCTGCAAGATCACACCTCCCTTGCCCAACATGAGGGCCCCTCTCCAAGCTGTCGGTGCCAGTTGCTGTGCCTCTTTCAAATCCCGTGGCTCTTTCGCCCTTAATTTTGCCTAGGGGTATGGCCCCCTTCCCTCCGCTTGCCCCCAGGCTTTGGAGGGGCTGAGCCCTTCCTGAGGAACCCTGAGGTGATGCTGGCTTTCCCTGCTGGTGACAACCAGCCCCACCTCTTGTGGCAGGATGGCCTTCAGGTGGTTGTTAGACCCCAGGGGCTCGGGGCGGTGCGAAATGCTCTCCCTTCCCCAAGCATCGTGCTCTCTCCCTGCTGTCTGAGACGGTGTTTCCATCAGGTGCAGAGGGAGAAGCCAGGAGAGCCATCCCTCTACGTGATCAACACGGTGCAGGTCAACGGCCAGGAAAAGTACCTTATAGTAAGTGAGGGAGAGGAGGGAATGGCTGCCGTGGCAGGGCTGGGCTGTGCCCTCCCTCATCTGCCGTGCAGGATGGCCCCAGAGAACCTCCTCGAGATGGTGCTTTGCCACCACGTCCTTTCTCCTCCTGCCCCAGCTGTACGAGGTCAGCGCTGACACGACCTTCACGAAGCCGTCGGATGCGGCCTGCGACGTCGCCTGCTTCATCTACGACCTGAGCGACCCCACATCCTTCAGCTACTGTGCCACTATTTATAAGGTACCTGGCCCAGGGGGGGCTGGGGGGGGCTGTGGGACTTCAGCCTTTTTGCTTTGGCAGCCTCACCTCCCCCCAGGGGCCACCTGCTGACCCCTTGCTGGGGTGGGGGACTTCAGCCTTTGCCTTGGTCTCGCTGAGACTCTCGTTGGGTCTTGCCAACCTCTCGTTGGGTCTCACTGACCCCGTCATTGGGTCTTGCCAACCTCTTGTTGGGTCTCGCTGACCCCCTCGTTGGGTCTTGCCAACCTCTTGTTGGGTCTTGCCGACCCCCTCGTTGGGTCTTGCCAACTTCTCGCTGGGTCTCGCTGACCCTCTCATTGGGGTCTTGCCAACCTCTTGTTGGATCTCGCTGACCCCCTCGTTGGGTCTTGCCAACCTCTTGTTGGATCTTGCCGACCCCCTCGTTGGGTCTCGCTGACCCCCTCGTTGGGTCTTGCCAACCTCTTGCTGGGTCTTGCTGACCCCCTCGTTGGGTCTCACCAACCTCTCGTTGGGTCTCACTGACCCCCTTGTTGGGTCTTGCCAACCTCTCACTGGCTCTCACTGAGCCTCTCATTGGGGTCTTGCCAATCTCTCGTTGGGGTCTTGCCGACCTCTCGCTGGGTCTCGTTGACCCCCTCGTTGGGTCTCACTGACCCCCTCGTTGGATCTTCTCTCTCCTGCAGCAACACTACATGGACAGCCAGATCCCCTGCATCTTCGTGGCCTCCAAGACGGACCTGCCAGAAGCAGCCCAGCAGCCCGGGCTCTCCCCAGCCGAGTTCTGCTACAAGCACTGCCTCCCACCACCCTTCCTCTTCTCCTGCCACAGCCAAGGACCACCAGCCACCACCATCTACACCAAGCTGGCCACCGCCGCCACCTTCCCGTTCGTATCCTCCCCTCGGGGCTGGGAGCAGAGCTTGGGGAGGGGGGGCTGTGTCCAAACCCTGCCTCTGCTGCGTGGCTTTTGGGTTGGTTTCTCTCTGGCTCTTGGTGTCTTCTCCTCCTTTGTCTTCTCCTCGTACAAGGAGGAGACGATTGGAACCTTGTACAATTGGAAACAAAAAGGGCTACTTCTTGCCCTGCTCGGAGAGGGTGGAGGGGGCTCATCTCTCTTCTGCCTGTGTGTGTGTGTGTGTGTCCTCAGCAGGTTTATTACACAGATCATGCAGCAGGAGTTTTGATTTTTGCAGCCTGAGATAACGAACGCTG